GGACGTGAAGGCTGAAGGGGAGGCTATGGCGAACGGGAAAAGGGGAGCCGAAACAGAGCCTACCACATACATGCTAGGCAATCCAGCTCGCGTAACTCAGGCACAGGAAAATGTCATTTCCTTCTTGCTGGATGAAGACCAGCGCTATGTACCTGTATGCCGGAGTTCCAGACCAACGGGCATCATTATGCTCATGGATCGTCAACCAGGAGAGCCTGAAGACGTAGCAGACGTGGAGAGCCCTCCTCTTGAGGGCGAGGAGGAAGAGGCAGAGGTCCCTGCGCCTTTCGAGTGGACTGTGAACTGATAAACACGAAAAGCATCATGGGCTGATTGCAGACGTTGTACTAGGTATTTTTCAAACTTTGAGGCGGGGGTAACTTATAAGAAGTGAACCTGAAAGGAAATCCTGTCATGACAATGTTTGTTAGGAAGGTCTGGGACGGAATCAAACGAAAAGAAAGAGCGAGCCTAGCAAGGGCGAAATGATTTTCACTGAAACTAGCATTGCTTTTATCCACGCAACGCTTGTAACCACTGGGTACGAGTGTGCTGCACAACATTGATGACTGAATGCCACGCCCCGGCGTGCTCGCAAGCCAGGAAAGGCTGTGCGGCGGGGCGCTAGCACGCTTTGCGAGAGAGGGTTGACGGGCGACCCGAGCGAAGGAAAATGTTGCCAAGCCTCGCTTGCAGGCGGGGCTCTGCCGTGCTCTATCCAATGCATCCTTCTGGCGCAATTCCCCAGCTGTTGACATATGCATCTGCTTTTAGTTCGAAGTTGTGAGGTAAATACAACTTCTTAGTGTGCACAGTTTAGCCCTAATTTTCGGTGGCCCCGAAAGCAAGCAAGAGAGGTAAAGAACCTCGCTCGCGCGGAGCATCCAGGTTATCATCTCTTCACGTTTCGTTCACCGTGGCTTGTGTCTTGTGCGCTAGGTGCCGCAAAGGGGTAGATAGAACGCCGAGGCCTTTAGGCAGAGGATCAGCTGAGATTTGGCCTTCGTGAAGCTCGTGGGTGTACACTTTTGTGCGTGTTTTTGCGAAGGGATATGACAAGACCACCTGTCTCGTGAGTTTTTCGTTGCATTAACGATACCTGCGCATGACTTGTCGATTAAAACATGAAAAGCACTCTTACTCACCTTCAGTCTCCTTTACTGTGCATCCACTTATAAATCTCCATGTAGTTGAGGGCTATTTTGAGCGTTTCCATGCCGTCAATCAAGCCGTCGCCATACGCACAGCCCAACACCCCAATAGCTTCGGCCAAAAGGCCACGCACAGCTTTGAGACGGACGCATGGCACATCTCGTAAGGGGGCTGCAAGCAAGGGAAATCCAACACGTCTTCAAGAAGACCTGGTCTGCTCCCCTTCCCCTGCTTGTCAGCTGGAGCGGACAAGTCCGGAAACAGGCCATCCTTGTGAGAAAAAGGTTGATGTGTTGTATGCGGAGACCTCCAGCGCTTTTTACGACGGTAGCGAACACGATGGAGAAGACACCTGGAAGGGTCGTGTAGCGTCTCTTTTCTCACCCGTGCTAAAATTTGTAGGTGGCTCGCCTGAGGCTCAAGGTGCCGAAGGAAGAGGGAAGCAGCATGGAGCGAATTCCGGAGAGGGCGGAATCGACGGGGGCTTACACGGCCAAGAGAATGACATTAACCGGAATAACCGACTAGCACAGCCTTTATCGATGGAAGAGAGCTGTGATGAAGGAAAAGATGTGTCGCCGAATCAGCTGGAGACATGTGGAAAAGAAAATGAGGAGGGGCTCATGGATGTGGAGCCGGTGTTCGATGACAGTGCTGCTAGCGAGGACGGAGAGAAAGTTTCAATGAAAGAGGAGGAGGTCGAAGATGAAGGCATGGAGGACGAGGAATTGGAAGTCGTAGAGGAGTTCAATCCCTTCCTGTTCATTAAACAACTCCCTCCTTACGAGCACGTAGCGATTCAGGGGAAAATTTGTCTACCACAACGAAAGCAAACTCGGTCATCACATACATTGGGCCCCTTGACCCTTGTGCTGGACCTGGATGAGACCTTGGTGCATTGCACTGTGGAGCCTGTGCCGGACCCAGACGTCGTTTTTCCGGTGGATTTTAACGGAGTGAGCTATCAGGTGCATGTACGAAAGCGTCCGCACCTGGAAGAGTTCCTAGGTCGCGTGTCTAAGATGTTTGAGGTCGTCGTCTTCACGGCGTCGCAGCAGGTCTATGCGGACGCGCTGCTTGACCTGATTGACCCTGGTCAGAGGCTGATAAAGCATCGGCTCTTCAGGGATGCATGCCTTCCTGTCGAAGGCAATTACATCAAGGACCTGCACGTTCTAGGCCGGGACATGGCACGCACGGTGCTGATTGACAATTCTCCGTATGCATATGGATACCAGATAGATAACGGCATTCCCATAGAGAGTTGGTTTGAAGATCGTGACGACATGGAATTACTGAAGCTTCTTCCCTTTTTGGAGGAGTTGCAAAGAGTTGACGACGTCCGACCACTCATTCGCACAGCATTTCAATCTCACCTCCGAGTGCACGAAGCCTAGTTTCGAGTTGCTGTTCGATGGTGGGGAGTCGAGAAAGTGGTAGTCGTCCACGTGGCATAAGCTGAGGATGTAAGGAGACGAACGCAAGGTGCTGTATTGGAAAGAGGGACGGGAAACTCGTGCGGTCGATATTGGTTAGAATGAAGGAGATGGGCAAGCCTTACGCACTGGCTCGTTTGTATCGTTGAGGGGGAGCGTGACTGTAATGAACGCTTTGTGTGAATTTGTCCGTATCGCGATATGAAGATCGATATGCGTTAGTTAACAACGATACTAGGATGCGAAGTTCCAAGTTTTTAAACCCTAAAATCATAGGGACGATATTGATTAAGCACTCCAGGAAGCCGTCGCGAAGCTTCTAAAAGGAAAGAACCGTATACATAAATTTCGAGGAATTTTACAATACCTCCAAAAGTGCGTTTTGCGGAAAGCAAACGATTAATTTCAAAAAGAATTTAAGATGCTGATCTAAGAACATACGATACTACCGCTTTCTCAGAAGTGCGACGCTCACATAAATCACAGAGAGACTGCTCATGAGTATTGCAATAAATGGGCGGACAGGCAGCAACATCCTCAGGGATCTTCCAAGGGCTTGCTCCCGTGCTGTCACATCGGCAATAACATGTCTTTTTGAGGCCAACTGTTTGTCAGCCCCAGAGGCGATGGCGATTTCCATACCCTTAGCCAGATCCAATCTACAGACATCCGCGAAACGAAGCAAATAGATAAAAACGTCCGCGATCTCTTGACCTAGCTCATTTTTGAAAGCCTGAGGCCAGCTTCGACTGTCGCCTGCAGGTGTAGCTTGCACTATCTCACAAAGTTCCCCCACTTCCCCGATAAGCGCGAGCAGGAGGTTGCGAGGGGTGTGATACTTTTCCCAATTTCGCTCCAGAACAAAGGCTTGCAAGGACGTCTGAAGGTCGCTGATGGTCAAGCGTGCATCCCAGGGAGGGGGACGAAAAATTTGATCCTCAGGGCCAAGGCTTTGGCCCTCCTTTTTAATACCTGTCTGTGCCGTATAGTAGTCATACTTGTGCGCAAGACCCTTACAAAATTGAGCCGGATATCTGAACAAAAAGCATTGAAGTGATGGAAATAGTCGGTACCCTCAATCAAAATGAGAAGTAGAAGAGTCTGTAGACCACAGTATGGGGAAATGACATCAAGAGGGAGCTGCGTACGACTATCGCGCACATCTAAGACAGAGATAAGTCGATGAACAATACCACACTTCCACGTTTTTATAAAAAAGCGAACTGCTACCAAACATGAGTTCAAATTGATAGGTACAGCATGCTGACGCGCCTCACCCACACCTTGAACCCTCATGTTCCACTTCTTCTTACTTGCGAGCATTGAGATCGATTTTGGCCACAGCGGCAGCACCCAGATCAATCTCACTATGGGCTGACAACCTGAGAATGCTGACCAGAAGTTCTCCTGCTGCAATTTGCATTTTGTGACAAAATTCGATGTCGTCGTAGACGAGAGCCGTTACTTCTTCACTCTTCCACTGTAAGATCTCCGCCAGTAGGCCAGCTTTGTGAGCCACGTCGAGGCAGAGCCCGGTTATCGGTATGATGCTCAATTTTAAAGTATCTTGAACAGCTTGACGAAGAAACTCGATAGAGGCGAGCGGAGCCATATGTTCATCGTGCTGTCCCATTTCTTTAAATAGCCTGCAATTATCGCTTTGCTTCAAGCACAGATGACTAATTCACCACAAGTTTCTACACTGAAATGCCTTGACTCACTTTGCCTGTGATAGAGGGACACTTTCTAGTCAATGCAAGTGAAAATATGCCTGCTCTTATTTCAGTGAGGTTAGGGTTAGGGTTAGGGTTAGCTAACAGACTGCGCGAGGTGGCGGGGGAAAAGAAAGGCTCGCGGATCTAGCCGAGCGTCCGAGAGGAAATGGAATGCAAAGGGGTTGTCGACTGCCCCTGATCTTTCTTGCGCGGGCACACACAGCAAAGGAGGGGTTACTTGTGGCTTGTGTTTACGTGGGCAGCCACTCACTCGCGCCTTGCTTGCCGCGGAGTCTCGCGGTTCACGTTGTTTAACCGGGCGAGCTCTCTCAGGGGTGAGGGACTCCCCTACTTACTACTAGTAGTACTCGCCACTCTCATGGGGTTCCATACGAACATGCCTTTGCTGCCTGTTTCCCACCTCTATCGACTACCGCGAGACACCGTCCGCCAATTTCCCCGATTCAGGACTTAAAGCATTTGTGCGACAGGGACACCAATAACACATTTGTTTATCTTTGCAATCGTTCGATTGTTTCCCCTGCCGGCTTCCTGCTCCATGGAAGGCTTGAGGGTCTACCTCGTCCCTCCCCTTCGTTTTCGCTGCAGATGATAGCCCTGGCGATTTTGTCTGCCAACGACTTATACCACACCATACAGTCACAATGTTCTTTGATAAAGCCACGCAATCATATTTCAAGCAGGTATTGTCATTTTATGATAGACGACAGCTCGGACGACGAAGGGTCGCGGCGGGTCCACGAAGAGGAAAGGTCAGTGGAGGCCCCACGTGGGACAGGACATGCCAAGCAAGTAGGTGCCGTCACCACAAACGGGTCATCGAAACCGAAAGCCTTGAGTATGGCGTCCGAACTGTTCGATGACGAATTGGAACATTTTAAAGGAGGGAACATTGCGTCCGACAGTCCGACCTCCCATTCGAAAGCTGCTGTGGCCTCTCCAACCTGCCGGAGCACGTGGGGAAGCGACATCAAAAAATCTTCTCCGACTTCACGGAACCGAATGGAGGGGTCCGCTGGCAAGGAAGTTGATGATCGGGATTCGGAAGCGGGGAAAAACGAAGAAACGCAGCGCCTTGTCTCCGCCCAAGGTGCTGTTATCTCAGAGAATGGACAAGCTCGTGGGAGTTATCACTCTGCGACCCAAACAGTGAAGCGTGTTGCGAGTGATAGGAGCAACAGAAATATCACCCCAGAGAGTATTTCACCAGAAGATTTTCAGGCGTGTAAAAAGATGAAAAAGCAGATGAAAGCGGAAAAAGATGTATCGCCTATCATCCAGGATACTGTGAAGTCGAAAGCCAACAGAAAGTCATCGCCGGTCAACGGATCTAAACATAATGATGATGCTGCAGGTGCACCCTCTCAAGTCTGTGGCGTGAAAAAAAGTTTAGCCGCCCGCAAGAGGAAGAAGGCTACTGTAGCCCCCGAAATGGAGAAGGAAATTCGAAAAATGGTGCGCCTGGAGGTTCAGAAGAAGCGGAGCGATGCGAAGAACAAGGTTTTGAATAAGTTTAAAAAAGAGCTCCCCTGGCTTCGCGAGCGCTCAATATTTTCACAGCCAGCTACAAATGATGAGGCGGACAGAGTCAAAGATATCGACTTGCCCCGACTCACGCCTCCTTCGCCGTCGACGCCTTCTGCGCTTTCGGCGTTGCCAGGATTGCAACGAGCCAAACTCATATCGTGCAGCAACTTCATCTACACTTTTGCGCGGCCTCTAGGCTTGCTGGCAGTCCCGACATTACCCGAGCTGGCTCAGGCGCTCCTGGCCCTGGACCAGCCGGAGGAGGCGGGATGCCCACTTGCGGAGGCGGAGGGCCGCAAGAAGGAGGCGGCGCGGCTGATCGAAGACTTGTGCATAGCCTTGGTGCGGGCCGTGACTCCTGACGTCGAATATGTGTTGGGGCTCAAGAGCGGCCATACGGGTGACCTGATGGAAGAAGTCTGCTCAAGCAAGAGTGGCTTGATAATGCCGTTGAACAAATTGACGTGGAAGGAGATAGCACGCCTGAGCTTGGTGATGTTCATATATTCCTACCTCGGATTCTCAGACAAGGACATCGCAGAATGTATGAGAGGTCGCATAAATCCACGCCGTAACAAGGTGACTCTCAAACTTCTTAAAGCTCGTCTGGAACGCCGCGCAGCATTGGCGGTTGGGAAACGCTCGTTAAAGTCGTCAAGCAAGGATGGGTTTGACGCGAATAATGCGGCGGAAAATACGATTTATTCATCCACGAGAGAAGGATATCAGGAGGTAGGAGATACAGAGAATGGTCATGTTGGGATTCACAAAGACAGTGAAAGGCTTGGGCGGGAAGAGTCTGGGGATATCAGCATCTGCTCTACCTCATGCGGCGCACGAAAGGAAGCGGCGACCGCCCCGAACGGAGGTGGAAAGGACCATGCTCGGAAGGCTAATTCTTCAGACGTTCAATTCTCCGATCGCACTAAAACGAATGATGAAGATACACTTGCTGAAACTGCCGAAGACAAAAAGCCAAGTGTCACTCCGACCTCGGCAGGGGCAGAAAAAGAGAGACTTGAGGACACCAAGTCGGATGGAGAGGAGGAAAAAGCTGTTGATGAAGAAGATGAGGAAGAGGAAGAAGAAGAAGAGATGGCCGTAGAGATGTCTCGGGAGTTAGACGCCATTCTGGAAGAAGCTTGTCGGTCTGAGCAAGAGAGACGCGTTGCATGCCTTTTAAAACGTCTCCTTCAGCATTCATGCTCCGAAAGGGTCGGTACTGAGGGGACGGAGGACCCTGATATTGAAAGCAGTCTGTCCGATTACGTTCTGAATGTGTGGGAGCCGCTTACCGTGGCAACCTTGATTCTCAAATTGAAGAGAGGGAGTTATTCTGCGGATGGTACTGAGGCTGGGGGATTGCTGGAGCTCGTGCAGGACGTGGAATTACTTTGCCGGAATTCATGGGCTTGCAACATTGAGGATTCTGAAGCCTGGGGAGCCGCAGAGAAATTTCATGCAATATTTGATCGTCTTTTACAAGCTTGGGTTTTGGAGCAGGCGCCTGAAAAGCGTCTCTCCGTGGATGAGATGCGCGGTCTCTGTCAGGATTTGGTGGAGCCTTGCTCAGCCTGCCGTCAACCTCTCTCTCGCCACACCGCCAAAGTTATCTGCTGCCGCTGCGCACTTACGTTACACCCAGATTGCCACCGGTCCTTAACCTATCAAGACGAAAATCGCGCAGATGTGGGGGTAGATATAGAGACAGATCTGTGGCACTGCACGGAATGCCTTGATTTTCGGGTGCGTCGTGAGGCCTATCCTGCCTTGGGGTTCGACGAGGAAGATAAACAGGGAGATCTTCTTCCTCAGGATTACGTGGAGGCGACAGATCACTTAAGCGCACAATCCCGAGATATGCTGCTGTGGCTCCGCATGGTAGTCGGGGAGTGGGGGCCCGGGATGTCCTTCCCGCCGTTGTTAGACGTGACAGTGAGCCGGACGGCCCTCGGAAAGATCAAGGCTGATCCTGATTTGCTAGGGATATGGGCAGCTCTTGCGCTGCTAGGGGGGCGGGTTTCAGACGCTCACAAAGAAATCGACGCGTGTAAAAAGGCTACGGAAATGACAGAGGCGGGACACCAGCTCTTGATACTGGATTCACTTTGCCAAGCTGCCTCTACGCATTCAGGCATAATTAGGTCGTTTTTGGAAAGGCAAGATCAAAAGCTGGCAGCGTTACGTAAGCGGCCACCTAAGGAAGAGGAAGAATTACGAAAAGAGCTGCAAGACATCGGAGGTGATGCGGCGGTTTTGGCGTGGAAAGATCCTATGACAGAAGAGTACATGGCGGAGGAAGCAGCAGCAGCTGCTGTTGAGGAGGGCGAAGAGGGAGACGACGAGGATGGCGAGAACGGGGAAGACCAAGGTGAAGAGGAGACAGCCGTCTGTTGTGAATGCAAGGCTACCACAAAGGACGTTGATGATTCTCAAGTTGTCCTCTGTGAAAGCTGCCCCACAGAGATCCACCTTAGGTGCCTAAATCCAAATTTGACTGAGGCGCCAGAAAAAGAATGGTTCTGTCGCGTATGCAAGGCCAAAAAGAGGGAGATTAATAAGCAACGTCAGCGCCAACGATTTGTGGTGAAGGCTGTTGACGTGGACGATCTTCTTGAAGGCCAACGCTTGGCTATCGAGAATGCGCTGTTGGAAGATTTCGTGGAGGAGAAAATCCAGGAGCGCCTGACGTCAGATGAGAAAAAGAAAAAAGAGAAAAAGACAGTGGGGTCATCTGGAACGCAAGAAGCTGCTTTTGTGCTTCCAGGTGGCTCCGGCGTGTTCAAGCAAGGTGAGGAGCAGAGGAGAAGTGCTGGGGATGCAGCCAAAGTAAAGGAGCAAGTGCAAGAGAAAGGGAGCTTCATTTCCACAAGCTCAGCGACCCCTTCGAGCACTTCTGAAGGTTCATTACGTATTCGCAAAGCCATGCGGCTCAAATGTGAGTACTGCGGTTACGGGGAGATGGAGGTGTGCAGTCCGTTGGTGCTCGGCCAAACGCTTGCGGAGACGGAACAGTACGTGGCATTGGAGCCAGCGAAAGACCCATGGATCTCAGAGAACTTGCGAAAGCGAAACCCAAACAGAGAATTAGAGGTGACAAAGAAATCGAAATCTTCTTCCGAGTCATCAGATGGAAAAGGAGTGGCGGACATTGTGACAAGTGAGAGCGTCTCACGTGGAAAAAATGAGCAGAGTTTTTTTGCGGAGAAAATTGGCCAAAAACAGGGGCACGATGGAGGTGACGGAGAAAGTATGTCACAGTCAGGTCAACTTAATGCAGCCAGGGCTGCCGATTTGTCCACAATATCCGCCCCACCCGCGGTGGCTCCCTATTTTCCGCGGATAGACACTGCGGAAAGTCGTCGATTTCCTTTCTCAGCGCATTGCCCCATCGTTCACGAACGTTGTGCGATTCAAATGCTGGCATTCCGCGCGCGTGCTTTACACGATCAGAAGCTCCAGGGACAAAGCATTGCAGCAAGTGACGACCAAGTGGCGTGTCAGCAAGGCACTGAGGGACACGGAGTCGACAAAAATAGAAAAAATGCTGTACAACAAATGAATAAGAAGGACCCAAGGGCCGTTATAGAAGCAGCGTTGAGAATAAGTGGAACACGCACCTACTCCCTAGGTCAAGACCGCCACGGTCGTTGCTATTGGAAGATTCCTGGAGACGAAATGCGCCTATACGTGTGGGTTCGGCCAGAGGAAGGCGACGCGCAGGTGAAAGGGACGGATCCACAGCTGCCTTTGCAGGGGGGGGCAGAAGGGATGGCTTCTGTTGGGCCTGGAACTTGGCTCTGTTATCAGGACAGCGAAGACATTCGTCGTCTTGCTGATTATCTGGACACGCGTCACTCCAAAGAAGGGCGCCTTCGAGAAGCAATTGAAGCTGAGTTGCTAGGTGAGCCCAAGGTTAGGGTTCCGAGGGATGATTCGATGTTTGTGCGAAACCCCTCTGGAGACTCTGGAGGCCCAAAACTGGACGGTTTGGAAGAGGGGCTTGTCGAAGGCGCAGGATTCGATGACGATGCCAAGACCGTATCAACAGATGGTGTAGAGGAAGGAGGTGGAGAGCAGGCAATGGAGACGAAAAAAGTCTCGAGGCCGGTCGCTTTGAAATTTTGGGAAGAGAAAAACCAATCTCCGGTTCCTTCGGAGGTATTGGACATAGAAGTCGACCCTGATATTTGGGGTGATTCGTTGGAGCGCAAAGCGGCCGTGCGAAAAACTCGCAAGTACCATGCAGTTGTTCTGGTGGACGCGGAAGATAAGGTCTGGGAGGGTCGAAATCTTGGGGTGAGATTCCAAATTTTCAAGGGTGGGGAGGAGGTTGAGGAGTCTAGCACCCCGCGGGCGCACAAGGACCATATTTTTTGGTTCAACGTGTACGAATTTCTTCTGCCTGGTTTATACACTTTGCGCTACACGGTGGATACGTTCAGCCGGGAAATCAAGCCACTTTGTCTACGAGTTGAAGTGCGGGCACGGCGAGCGGCGACTTCCGTGCGATCGGTTCTCAACAGCCACTTGAGCTTTTTGAATATTTCACGGGGCGGTCGTTACAGCTTACGGCAGTCGGTTGAACTAGACATCCCAGAAGATGCTGATGAGGTAGTAGGTTTGCGCATTGCCTTGCTTCAGCTCAAAGAAACCTTGCCAAATGGAGCGCTTCTCGAGAGCCCTGAGGACTTGGGTGGCAGCATTGCTCATTTGGGCGGTGGAGGCAGTACTAATATCCATGCGGGTGACGGAGAGGTAGGGCCTGTTCGAGCGCCTGTTTGCTATTGGACGGAGGCGCTTCAAGCACAGTGGATAAACCATTTGATGGAGGCAGAGACACCCCACGAGGTAATGGAGGGGCTTCTGCTTCTGGAATCATGCTTGCATCCGGAATGGCTCAAGCCTTGGTTCCATCCTCTCCGCCGATCTTATGCTGCAACCTCTTCCCATTTGTTGCGCTTGGGTACTACTGCCGCGGCAGCCGCATTTCATCTCTTCATTTTGGACAAAGCAATCTTGTACGACAAAGAAAGAAAGGTGCCTCGTAAAAGTCGAGGCCAGTCAGCCAGAAGCAGAGGGTTCCATTCCACTCAACGCTCTGTCTTGGAAGGAGAAAGTGATGAAGAAGACGATGATGAAGAAGAGACCGAGAGCGAGGAGGATTGTGACTCGGACGACAACGGCGGCCGTAAGCGTCTGAGGTCCCGCAAACACAAAAAACGGTTGGCCACAGGTTCCTCATCTTCTCATGTCCGTGGCGTCAAACACCCACAACGGTCATCATTTCGTAAACGGGCTGTTGTCTCGTACAAAGAAGCGGGAGACAACGACATATTCGACGAGGAGTCTGACGAAGGCTCGTCTATTTCAACGAGAGAGTCAGGAGCCCAGAGCAATGGAGGTAGCAGGACCAGGCCCAGAACAGGCGCCGTGTTGCCAATTGCGTCTGATGATGAATTTTCGAAAGAGTGTTTGGCCTTGTTGCGGCAGCTCAAAAGTCATCCCTCGGCAGGACCTTTTATAGAAGACGTCGGTGACAATGTTCCAGGGTACAGTACCATCGTACCTTTTCCAGTGAGTTTGACAACCTTAGAAGCGCGAGTCAGGCGTCAAGTGTATGGTACTTCTTTGGAGAAATTTTCGGATGATGTGGGGCGCTTGTGGGAAAACAGCGTCCTCTACAATGGGGAAGATCACGCGGTGACACGAATGGCGCTGCAACTCAAGGTCCGTTTTGAGGCATGGCACCGCGATATGAAGCCACGACTAAGGGCTTAAGACAGAGCAAGCGAATTCGAGTCGCTGGTACAGTGATACGTTCGAGAGAGAGAATGATTCCAAATAGGCTGAGGCGGCTCTTTCGATTGAGGGAGGATGCGTGGAAGTGACGAGCAATTGCTCCAGCAGAGAATAGGCGAACAGCGGCGAGTGGCCGTGTGGTGGAGTAATTGTCTTAATAGAAAAGCGTGAACGCCAAAAGCAATTGAACGTGTAGCGACAGAAAACCTCTTTGTGTACGTAGCTGGCGGCGTAGCTTTGTTTATGCTTCTCCCTCGGCGATTCTTTCATATCACGAAGACGTCAGGGGTACTTTTGAGGCTCAGGTGAATTCTCAACAGGAACCTTGGCCAGCATGAAGCTCAGATCAGGGAGATATATCTCCGAAAGCACGGCTGTAGCCTTTTCAGAAAGGGTTTCATAGCCAAGCATCAAATTCTCTCGGGATGTATGTTTCGAGTGAAAGGGCTCCTCTCGAGTTTCGTTCTCACATTCAACGCAGTCCCCTGCGATTTCTTGCTCTTCCACGATCCTTGTACCGCCACGATAATCATCCATAACTTGGTCTTGCATATTTTTTTCAAAATCTCTCTGCTTCTCTCTGAAGAACTTATCGCCCTCGTGTCTCATTCTCTCTGTGACCGGTGCATGCTTACGTGATAATGAACCTCCTGGCGCTAAAGTTCGTGGTTGAGCACTCGCAACATCTACTATTGGTAGAATTTCCCCCGGCTCTTCTTTATTCATGCTTTCCACGTTTTCATGAAGATTAGCTTTTTCAGATAGCCGCGTGAAAGGAAGACAATGGAAAGAGCACCTGGCTTGCGAATGCAGAATCTTGCACAAGACAGCGTCGAACCAAAAGCACGTTCTCGCATTCTTCCACTTCATCTGATTTAATGCAAACAGTCCATTAATGTCCACTGCCTCGAGTTCATGAATCGCGCGATGCGCCTGGTGTTTGTTGGCAGCCATCGTCAAGGGCGTCAAATCGCCAGAGGCATGAAAGAAAGATCGACACGAAGATTTGTAGGACTTCGCACGCTTTTCTGAGCTCCGTTGTGAGGATAGACAACTTTCAAAGGAATTTCCCGATATGGCAGGCTTCGGGTCCTGCCTTATAGACGTATAGTCATCTGAGAGAACGACTGGCCCAGCGAAATCGCCGAAGTCATCGTTTGGTTCCCCCTCTTCGAAGAAACTATCGAACAAAGGGCGTCTTGATGTGGAAAAATTACGTCTTACTCCAATTGACTCATCACAAGGGCCCAAAGCTCTTTGTGGTTTTGAATCGGTCAATGAATGGTACTGACGGGCAGCTTTTGCATCATGGTGACCATGGGGTTGACATTCATCCTCTTCAGCCGCGACAATTGGCTGGACGCTCCTGCCAATTCTTTTCTTGTTTACATTCGCTGTTACTTTTCGAGCCCTCGCAATTTCCTTTTGAAGCTCTGCATCCGTCTCGACAACGGTTGAAATATGCGCTAACCCCGGCTCCCCAATTCGCATTGGTAGGGGCTCATACGTTTCAGCGCCGATCCTTGCCTGCTCTCCTGAAGATTGACGGCATTGCATAGCTTCCAAGCTAGCATCATTGACTTCATTATCAGTAACTTGCAAAGAATCAAATGCAGATAGTGTAGACTGGGTCGTCCACGGTTCCTCATGCGCAGATCCGGGACTCTGAGGCTTGTTTCCTTCCTCCTCAACCATTCCTGTTGACTAGGCAGGTCGAGTGTTGAAAAGCCGCAGAGTGTCAAATCCCGTGCGGTGTGAGGACAGCAGAATAAAACCAGATGAGCACGAAGCGCCTCCTATGGAGACACGACCGGGGGGCCTGGGCCGCCGCGGGAGGAGCGGGACGTACAGGAAGGAGAGTGGGAGGAGTCTCAGCGAGGCGGCAGCGACGGGGCGAGGGCGGTAGCCATGCATTGGGCACGGGCCGGACGGGCTGGCTTTCCTTTGTTATTGGAGCCTAAATCCGAGAAAAGAATTGGCATGGAAAATTAAGTTTTGCGACGGACCAAGTGGTGGTCGTAGTACCATACATGGAGCAGTCTACCCGCTCGCTCAGCATGCTGCCCGGCAGTAGAAAACTTCTTTGTCAAGATACTGCGTTCGCTTCACCGTACTCATTGCCATTTTCCCCCTAAAACACACATCATAAATAGCATGTGGCGATATTCTTCAGATGGAGAGCTTTTGGTCCACGTGGCGACGGACAACAGAATACGAGTGTACAATGCAGTAAGTAATAAAAGCCTATGTACCCCAGCACTTCGGACGAGCGTGTGGGCCGGTCATGTGGCTCCTTCTTCGTATACCACGCGTACAACCGTGGGTACTAAGTGGATTGAAAGTAAAATGGAAGTAAAATATTTCACGTGCTGAATAAATGACGGCGACAGTGACGTGATTATGTGCGCGACTTTACGCTATCTCGGAGAGCTCAGCAAAGAGATAACCTAAAAATGTGATCCTCTTACATTTTGGCGCTCTTCTTTCCATTTCCCCAATGAATCGCACGCACAGAACATGAACATTATGACGTAGTGTATCCGTTTCTTGTGTTAAACCTCATGCGGAAGAGGCATGACATGATGACCTCCGTCTTGCCTTCCCATGCGTTATCCCCTTCCAGGCAGCAGGCACCCTTCGGCAGAAGTACATTGAAAAAGATCATTTTGCCTTCCAATATACCTGCCTGGCATGGATGCAAGGTTTGGCATGGAACGACAAGGTACGCAAGCGTAGGGGGTAGAGCTATCACGAAGCAATTTCATTCTGTGGCAGATCTGGAGGAGTGATGATTGACATACTGGCCGTGATGAGATGAAATTTCCAAGAAAGCTTTTAAATTGGTCCGTGTTATTGATGTGCAAGCGTGATAAAATCAAAAGCTCTGAGCTGTTCTGTCATTGTCTTCTTCTCCAGACTTCCCGTTCCACCGCATGTTTGTCCACCACGACTTCTCCAGCTGTTACATGTCTCACGTGTAGATACCCCTCCACTTCGAATCAAAATTTCAGAACCTGACTAAAGTGGCACAAAATCCAAGCAACGCCATGGGACTCCTTGCACTGGGGACTGATCGAGGGTGTGTGAGCGTGTGGGACTTGACCCGCGGCGTGCTGGCATGTCGGTTGGGAGAGGGGCAAAGCTTGAAGCGGTTCACGGGAATGGCCTTCAGCGCCGATGGAAGTAGGCTTTACACCTCGAATGCGGGTGATGGGGACGTACTGGAGTGGGGTCTGGGGACTGGTGAGTGTAGGCGGCGACTAACTGGGGACAAGCACGGAGCCTCAGCCTTGGTCGTGGGTCCTGCCGGCAGCGCCATCTTGGCGGTGGCGCGAACACGGATCCATTTGATCGACTTGGTCAGCGGGGAGCGGCGAAAGAAGATCTCGTCCGGCCATGCGGCTGCTGTGACACATATGGCGTTTTCGGAAGATGGACACTTCCTAGCCACGGCGTCGGTGGGCTCTCGCCACATCAACATTTTCAGCTGTCAGGGCAAGGACAAAGAGGCAGTGCTCACTGCAGCTTTGGACGGCTGTCCCACCTGGCTGGCCTTGCGAGCTGATCCATCGGGGAGGGAGAAGGGGGCTATCGTTCTTACGCTTCTCGCATGCTGCGACACGGGTAGTGTGCGCGTACTTCGGCAGAGCTGGGCAGCTGCTCATGCCCCGCCGTGTGACTCGGCTGGCAGCGGTGAGGACGCGGGGGCTCTTGCCAGGGCTGGAACACGAGCTCCGCCCACCACGCTGCGTGTACTTACCGTGACTGATGGCAAAGAAAGCGAAAAAGTGTCGGCGCTTGCAGCTTGCTTCCTTCCATGGGCGGGGAGGAAGGGATCGATAGCATGGCGAGTGGGCCTTGCGTACGGCGCGGAGAGCGCCCCTGTTTTCACGAGCTTTAGCATCGCAAGCGGCGAGGAGACAGACGAATTGCTACCGAGGGTCTTGCTCGAAGGGAGTAGGCTGACTAGTGAGAAGGGGAAGCAGGAGGATGGGTTGGCGAGCAACAAGCGGAAGCGGCGGGAAGTGAAGGCCGTGGAGATGCAGGATCCAGCCTCCAAGAGGACGGCTTTGGATGAACATGGTATTTCGGGACTGAACAACGCGGCCGGGGTGGGAGCAATGATTGAAATGCGCGGCGACACTGAAGATGATGACACGATGGGGCGCCGCCTGCAAAAGATGGCTGAGGGGTTGTCGCAGGGCCTGGAGGGGCACGGGGCTCTGGTGGCTGCCGGGCCTGTCGCGACTGCGGCGAAAAGCATGGGGTCCAAGGCGGACTCGCTTTTCACGGTTTTAAGCCAAGCGCTCAAGTCTGGAGACGAAGAGCTGCTGGAGCAGTGCCTGGCCGTGCAAGACACACAAATCCTTTCCAAGACGGTCCGACTGCTCACGGCACCGCTTGTGTTCCCCTTCATAAACACGCTGGTACGAAAGCTGGAAAAGCGCCCCAATCGGGCAGTCTCTCTCTGCCCATGGATCCGTTTCGTTCTTTTGCACCACACAAGCTACCTAATCGGCACGCCAGGGCTCGACCAGCGCCTGGCAGGCTTGCACAAAGTGGCCACGCGGCGCGTGACCGTGCTGCCTCGCCTGCTGGGCCTCTCCGGGCGATTGGAACTCATGCTTGCTCAGATTTCCAAGCACGGAAGTGGCGATCACACCTTCGCACCAGGTGACGATAATGGGGATGTTGAGGTGTACATGGATGGAAGCAGCGAGGAAGAGGGAGACGAGGAGGACATGGTTGGAGATGAGGCGGACGCCGATGGTCTCGAGGCGGACGGAGCCGGATACGGCGATGAAAATTCCGATGATTCCTAGCGTACAGAGCACATGTAGCCAATTAAGCTGAAGCAAAACTCTCTTTTTGATTACCCTGCTGTACTTCTGCATCAAAAATTACGTCCTTTGACCTGATTTCTTTGTACAAAAATTGTTCATCTCTCCACCATGACGATTTACTTGTTTTGTTTCGCCGAGGTCGAAAGACTTTCCCTACTTTTCGGAGGCTTTCTCATATCCTTGCATATCCCGAATACGCTCCAAAATCTCGCGCTTGCTCGTCTCTTGAATCTCTCCCGCTAAAATGAATTCGTCCAAGATGGAGTACACCTGTTCGCGCGTGCGTGGAGATGAGAAATTGTCACTTGAAAAGGCAGACAAGGCCTTTCCGTAAGCTGTTCGCGGTCAATAACGTCCTTACGAATCCCCTCATGATCCTCACCTTGTTAAAATTGAACACAATGTCGAGCTCGCAGACGTTGCGAAAGTACTCATCGAGGAGCTCAACAAACAGGTGGATAGACTCCAGATATGCGAGTTCATTGTCCGTCACATCCACACCCAAAGAGAAATAAAGTCCAGCGTAGCGCCGATAAATGAGTTTGTAATTCTGGTATTCGACAAAATTTGTGTATTTACGATCCCGGCTCACAATCAGCTTGTGCACGTCCGCCTCCAAACGAAACTTTTCAGCCTCGTTTGGTGGTAAGATATACCACTTTGACAGCCTTGTCTTACCCTGACGATTCTGAAGCAATAGAAATCGAATCTAGCAGTCCACATATGATTAAAAGCCGGTTTTTTAAGACATGAGGTTTTCAAATGCATACACTACAAGACCAGGACGAGAAGAGAAAACGAAGTCGGGCAGTCGGCACTCTTACACGTACCATGCTTAAAGCCCCTTCCGCCTGCTCACACGAGGTTCCCTGCAGCGATGTGGTGGAGAAATTGCATACGGAAAGCGACGAGAACTTTTTGTCAATACTGTGTGCACGAGCGAAGGGCGGCGAGGTCGAGCCCGCACGGCCCCCTTAAGCGAGGCGATCGGGCGGGGCGATGGATTATATTCACCCCGCCCACACCCAGGCTTTGACACTCTTGCCCAGTAATGGATAAAGACCCGCCCATTTTACAGCGTACAGGTTATTTGCACGCTTCACGGCCCCAACTAGAATTTATCTACAGCATTTAAAGCTAAGCATGGTGAGTGTGGGAGACGCCGCCTGCATAATGAATTCGGAGGCCTAGTGATATACGTTAACTCCAGTCAAAACTCGCAAAGGATTGCGACGCTACTCGTGGCTCACGTCACTTTATCACCATTCATACTTCATTGGCAGAGTAATTCAGAGGAGGTCCCTAAAAACGTGGTAGACGTGGAGGACGATGACGAGGACAGCGAGGATGTAAGTGAGCGTTCTCTCCCGTGAGGTTGCGATCCGCACAACACGCAAAATTTCCACCGTCAAAGCCAATGGGATAGGGGTCGTGAAGTGTGTTACTCCCTACTCCGCGGCTTAGGCTGCAAAGCATGCATGTGAAGTCCCTCCGCAATAAATAACTTCAATCTTCAACGACAGGATGAGGACTATGTGGAGGGCGAGGAGGAGGATGAGGACAACGAGAACGACGACGATGAAGATGATGACGACGACGAGGTAAGGTGATTCGGGTCGGTAAAGGGGGGCGCTTTGGGCAGAGAGAAAGTGTACAGTTTTCGGGTCTCGAAAAGCGAGAGGAAGGTACATTCAACCCGTACCCCCGAGACGGGCTCCCCGCTTTTTGTTAATTTTGTGAGCATTCTTCCATTCGATAATTATGCGGAATGTTAAGAAGAAGCTTCACTGACGAAAGACCCACGCCGACTCAATATCGCGTTCTGACACGTGCATTCCTGACAGGACGACTCGGAGAACGACTACGAGGATGAGGACGGCGAGGACGATGAAGAGGGCGCCGAGGAGGGGGGTGGTGGAGACAATGACGGGGATGAGGATGACGAGGAAGACGAGGAGGAGGGTGGCGACGGCGAAGATGATGAAGAGGACGACGAAGACGAGGAGGAGGAAGATGCGCCTCCCAAGAAGAAGCAGAAGTGATAATTCTCTGGCCTCTTCGAGCCTACGACATATAGCCGGGGCTATTGTCCGTACGATTCCGGGGGAATTTCTAAATCAACGTCATGGCTGCGCTTTCCGGAAAAGGCCAAGTATCGGTCCATGCCAGAAATGAGGAGAAGCGAGGTCGGGGTCGGGCGGTGAAAGAGAGAGAGCCAGGAGAGGAATGTAGTGGGGGACACGGATGTCAAGGAGAGGAAGAGACCAGAGACGACCAAGTAGGCGTTTGGTTTTCTAATCGTCAGTGCCTTGTGAATTTAAGATGAGAAAAAGAACCTATATTCTGCCCGACAGAGACCCTGAAAGCTGAAGTGAAATGGTATCAAGAGGCGCTTATTTTTGCCAATGCTGCTCTCCTGGGCGAAGTATTGTGGCCGAACAAGTCCTGACTGTCCACTTTATTTTACACTGCTGTGATAAAGAGAAACCACAAAAGCACCCCGTCGCTTCACATTCATGTCAAAGTGAGCTCGGGAATGAACGCACGCCTCCTCGTCTCGCCGTCAGTCACGTGATGGCGCTATACTACGACGCTAGAAATAATATCGACACACACACACATTTACAAGCTTGTCAAGTTGCTCCATAGAAGCACTGTAGCCTTCCGCTGCTCACAAGCGATACCGCCTCCCGCTTGCTCACACGCCAGCCTACCCTGGTCTCATCGTTTTCTTTCAGGCTCAAGTCCATGGCGTATCCAACTACTATGTTAACTAGTATGTAAATGTCCATCCCTTAGGCTTGAAACGGAGAAACAGATTCGTGTAGTAGCCTCCAGGTGGCAGCGGGCGAGAACGCCGGTGTGCGCACGTCGCAGATTCATACATGACCACCTCCCCGGGCCGCATATGTAAGGCGTGGAGCTTGCCAGAATGATCCCTCATTTCAAAAGGCCAGGGCTCCTTCACATCCTGGTCCAGGTTGATAAGCGCGGACACGACATTGGTGGTCGCCATGTCCACGTGCTCTTGGATGGTGGCGCCGGGAAGGTAGGTACGAATGCCACTGATACCCGTCGACTCTAGCTCCGCCACACCGCACCAGGACTCAAGAATGGGTTTGAGCGTGCCGACGACCTCGGATGCCAAAGCGGGAGGGAGATCGAGGCGCAGAGTGGGCGATACCCAGGTATTGATCGAAATCTCCGACGGGTCGAGGCGGTCCTCCACGGACTCGTGCCGGCGCGCCCGGTAAAACTGCTTCAGTGTTTCCCACAACGAAGACGGTAGAGCTTGGACCTTCAGACCCTCGGATGTGAATCGAGGCACTCGATCAACCTGGTACCGCAAATTATTAAGACGGAAGCTGTTTTTTGCATCGCGCTGCTTCCAAAGCTCAGCTTCCTTGTCAGTCTGGCGGCCGAACGTGTGGAGAATGCGCCGCGAGGCGGCAAACTTGCCTTCCCACATCCGGGAATGATCGTCGCGAATCCTCTGAGCATATTTGACGAAATACTTCTCCAGAAACTCTCGAGACTCGACCTCATACTGCTCCACAAAAACCACACGGCGTTGACCATGTATCCCCCGACTTGCAGCTATGCTATCCTCCGAAGCCGAAATGTTCCATCCCACAAAGCCGGGCAGCGCCATGACCTCTTGGATGTGTCCTTCTTGGATCCAAGCCAAGTAGCCTTCCACGATGTCTTCGTCAATTTCCAGTGTCACTTCATATTTAATGCGATTTGCGGGGTCGTTTGGAGAAGTCAATGGAATGGGTTGTCGCAGGTAAGGTCGGTCCGCCAAATGAGGATAGGAGGGTTCGGACATGGCATCCAAAATGCTGCGTTTGCCATCCTCATGCGATAAATGGGGGGGAGGCCAGCATCTTTGGGTAGACGCAGCCTGTGGAAAGGCCGACGATCCTTGGGAGCGAAACGTAAGCGCGAATGGGGCAAACAACCCTTTACAAGCGAGAGAGTTACATCGCATAGAGAGTCGCGGTAGATGATGCATCATGGCCAATTGCAGAGTACCAAAGCGTCCTTGTAGTCCTGTGTAATGCGCGTGGTAAACATCAGTTTCTCCATGTGGCGGCATTCGTGTGTCTTCAAATAGCTGTCGCCAAAGAACTTCACAACGTGCTTGACATCAAATTCTGCGTCTCGTCTCCCGACAATCGCGGCTGTACACCTTTTTTCACCATTCCCACATACCTTTTCCTTTTTTATCGTGGAACTCTTTTAGTCTTTCTCGCTTCGTTGAAGGCTTAAAGCGGCCCGCTCTAATGTGTCCGCTTCTAGGAGATCATTCCCGGCAAAAAATAATGCAGCTCCTGGTGTCTCATCACCGGCAAATTTCTTCCTGGTCACTGCGTACAAGGCACCGTTCCGTAACGCAAGCCCAAGGAATTAGACTTGAATTGAATAGCGTGCCTTTGTCATCTTCCCCGAGGCCTTCAACAGCTTCGCTATCTGCGATGCCATGCTCGGCCTCATGGACAGAAGCCAAAGCCTTCCATTTACGGCCTCTGACTGGCGCTTTGGGGGCGGAATTGACCGGGATAGACTTGAAAGCGCTCGTTGCAAACAGTCGAGCAATCTATGAGATTAAAGAAGCTTTCCATGAGTATTCAGTCCTCGTCTTCCGGAATCAAGCATGTTTAAGCGCAAAGGACCTTCTCAGGATAGCGGAATTTTTTGGGGAAGTTGAAGCTCGACCTGTGGTGAAAGCCCAGTACGGACTTCCCATGGTCCATGACCTGATTCGGGAGAAGGGAACGCTGGGACATTATGGGGAGGTATGGCATCAAGATTGCTCGTACATGCACCATCCCCCCTTAGGGGCGCTTTTGTACGGCATGGAAGTTCCTGCCTACGGAAACGACACAGTCTTTTGTGACATGAGTCTTGCATTGAAAACCCTGTCGCCCGCTTTCGTAGACTTACTGAAGCCGCTACGAGCAGTACACTCGGCTTACAAGATGGTTAAAAAAGACCCTTCGGTCGCGTCGCTGGCTTACGACGAAGTGGAGCACCCCGTCGTCCGCCGGCACCCCGACACCGGGGAACTATCCTTGTTTGTGAACCCCTTCTTCACCAAGCACTTGGCAGGAATGACGGAGGAGGAGAGCAGGCCTATATTAGAACACCTCTTCGAGATCATGACGCGAGCTGAGCTGCAGTGCCGGGTGAGGTGGGAGAGGGACACATTGGTGGTGTGGGACAACAGATGCGTCGCCCATCAGGCGATTAGAGACAACACGCGGGAGCGACGAGTCATGCGGCGAGTAGAGATCCGAGGAGACATGCCTGTATAACAAAGGAGAAAAACCAGGAGAAGGTGACCCGCGCCATGCTCTTATGATTAAAGCGAGGAGAAAGAGCGACTCGTGGACATGATGTAGCGTGGAAGACTTCCCCGTTGAGACTTTCTGCAATGTTCCTGCCTTACCATTCGCAGAGCGGCCCGCACAGCAGTGTACAGAAAGGGGGAGGGGATGGACCCATAGAAACATGTGTATTCTTTTGTAAACTTTTTTAGAGGCTGTTTCATTTTTTGAGCCGTAGATTTTTACCCGACACATATAGGCAGACAGGCACAACCAAATGGCCTACTTCTCCGACTCTCTCTATTCCCACCTTCTATTAACACTTAAGATTTAACTCACACACGCGCATTACCGCATATTGGAATCCAAAGTACTCACTTGATTTCTCTCGAAACTGCCTCATTCCCAATCTTCAACCCAATGCGCGCCGCTTCCGTCTCTTCGCGGCGGTCGAAGCTCCCGGGTTTTCTTCTTTCTCTTCTTGTGAGTACGTTGTACGGGCGCTGCGCTTGCCCTTCCCTGTTTGCGCGCTGATCGGATGTGCCACTTGTTCCATTTCATCCCCTTGAAAGGTCGGGTCATTTTCTTGAGAAGCCCCTTTATTCTCGATGACGTCTTCTAAAAGCGCACGTCGCTTCAAGGCACGATCAGCCCGAGAAATTTTTTGAGCCTCTATTGCCTCCCTGGCCTCGCGCAATTTCTGCTCCTCCTCGAGCGCAGCCTCATCCCCCTCGTCCATCGCGGAGTCATGTTCGTCGTCCGATGTGTCATAATCGAAGGCGCAAGGGCTTTGGTCTGCGACGCCATGTCCTTTCCTTTTCGTTTGCTTCCTCTTGGCTTCTTTGCCACTTTTTGTCACACTCACCCCTAGGCTTACTGTTCTTTGGCGCACGAGAGGACGGCTCTCCATATTTTCATCATGATCCTGCGCATCACTGTATCTCATTCTCTCATATTTACTACCTGACCCTTTCTTATTTCCGACAAGACTAGCGCCTTCTTGTCGCTCTTCCTCGTTCATTCTCTTGAACCGGCGCGTCCTTGATTGTCTACAGTCGCCAGCAGCGATCACCATCCTTTCCTCCTTTGTGGGCTTTGGACACTTTCTTGAAGAGTGCTGACCGAGAACAGATGTACCCGTGGTGGATATTTCTGTGGCAATTGGACTCAAACCCCAATCCGGTCCGTCTCTGTAGCCGTTCACCTCCTCATCTTCCCCATCATCGTCTAACTTTCCCGCTTTTGACTTCGTACTTTCCGTCCTGTCCTCGCCGCGCTGTTTCTCAGGTTGCACGGAGGTACGGGGTCTACCCGTTTGCGGGGCGTAGAGCGGAAGTGGTAGATAGATTTTACCTGGATAGGCTTGAAGGTTCTCTTGAGTTTTGATCTTAGAACGAAGAAATTCCCGACATACGCGTGTCACCTGGTGCAGACGTTCAGTGGCAACATCATCTTCATTAATAAGGCTATTTTTCTCCTTTTCCTGCCTTTTGATAGCGGCCGAGGCATCTTTGTATCTAGTAAGGATGGTGTCGGTCATGAGGAGGAGAAACGATAAATTGTCGGCCTCCGTTCCGAGAGTGGCCATTAGCGGTTCGAGTACAAAGGCCAGACATCGTTGTATGGGTCGCCAGCGGACGCTATCATGCGGAGAGGTGGGGAAGTCTGGAAAGTGAGCCAGGAGGTGGAGAAGGTAAGGTAGCAAGTACTCAGGCATCATGGAGGTGGTAACCTTGCGCTTGGCCTCCTCCGAAGGCTCCTCTTCCTGTCCGGCCATGTACTCCTCGTAAGCTTGACGCAGATTCTGGACGGCCCGCGTCACTGCTTGTCGAGCCTCTCTGCGGGCAGCTACATCCTCTTCCAGGGCCGCCAAAGAAAGCAACGCCAAGAATTTAAGATGTACTCTGGAGCTGCGCACAGCCCTGGCCAGCTTACGTGTGAACGCACCCGCCACAGTTATTTCCTCTGGGTCCAACATGATCCAAGCCAGCGACCGCCAACGCGGCGCATCTAGTAGCCTATGCTGCACATACTGATTTCGCATCAATTTCAAGATGCCTCCGGCACTGACAATTCGTAAGCGTGCCTTGTCTTTCTTGCTCAGCTCCACTCGACTAGGCAATCGGCCCTCTGCCTTCAAAATCTTAAACAAAAGGTCCAGCACCTCGCTCGCCGAGGCCTCTAGCTCATCCTGGCTGACCTCTACCAGTGACGAGTTCTCATTGAGATACGACGAACGCTCCCCATCATGGTCCCGCAATTGTCTTGAATCTTCATTTTTATGAACCCTCTCACCATTTCTGCTTCTTGGGCTTCGGTCCCTGTCCGCCTTATCCATCGTCGATTTTGGAAGAAACACAGAATCCTCACGCATTGCCGCATATTCCGCCCGTAGCCCAAGTACATGCGCCACAAGAAACTTGATTGCCGCGCAAGCTCGTGTGCACTCCTCGGATAGTCCTCGGCTGTGAGGACTGTCCTTCGTAGCTTGCTTCTTCTTGCTGTGCGTCTTGCCACTACCCATCAGTTGAGGAAGGGCACCAGATGCCGATTCATCATCAGAATCATTATTAGATGAGGCCCTGTAAAGTAGCACCTTTCGCAGGGCGAACGCTCGTACTCGTGCAGCATGGGTCTCAAATGTCCGGGGATGTCTCTCGGCGAGTACGGCCAAGGCACGCAGCATTGCTTCTAAGCGCGGGTTAACCAGCGACAGAGATTTGGCGCTAGTAAGCTCTCTGAGGAGGCGGGCGTAGACGGCGTCCTCCGGATCGGGCACCAATTCACACAGCGCCGAGACAGCCAGACGAGAGGCCTTCGTACTGCCATTTTTGAGAACGACTTTTAGCGTGCCCTGTCTGAAATTTGAAAGCATTTCTGCTTCCCCTTTGACAGTCAAACTTGTCAACCGATGGCCAATCTTCATGTCCGCGAGATATCTGGCACCCTTTGCCCGCGTGGCAACTAGGCGGAGGAGTCGCACCTGCAGATTTTCTTCTTTCCCTGCCGTCCAGCAAAGCATCAGAAGCTGAGGCAGAGCTTCCGACATCAGGACTGGAAAGCTTTCGATCAAAAGCTCTGTCAGAGCCACAGCTCCCTCTAGAGTATTTTCCTCTTCATCTCCACCCTCCCCATTTTCCAGCAACTCTCGTGCCAGCTGGATCAGGTCGGCCAGTGTCTCTTGGTTGGCGAAACAAGAAGTCGCTCGGCGCGCTAGCACGCGGACATACTCGCCAAGCACACTTTTCGACCCCACTTTGGCCGCCAGATCATCTCTTGCCTTCAACACACGGTTCGAGGGCTGCCGAGGGTCCATGATGGTCTGCAAAAGCTTTGGCGCTTGCTGGTCCTTGGTTTCGTTCAATTTTAAAGGAAGGCTGGTGCCACTCGCACGACGGTCCAACACCGGCACCGCTTCGAGCAGAGCTTCCCCACACTCTTGCAGGCGCACCTCCCGTAATTCGTCGTCCATGTCAGCACGCCATGACGACCGTGCAGCCAGATATTCATTAACTAGAGCTTGGACCATAGCCTGATCCTGTAGCACCGCCCGCAAGGCGCGATTCGCATCCGCCGTAAGGCGGTGCCACATAAAAAGAAGGCCTGTAGTGCGGACTTGACAGTCGGCAGCTTTGGGTAGCATAACCTCGTCGAATACCTGCAGGATGCTGAGACGGAGTTCACTGTCTGGCAACGAGTATCCCAGAAGGACAGTGCCAGGAATCCAGCCCAGTTTTTCCTCTAAATCCTGCGGCAAGGTGTCATGCAGTCGCTCGGCCTCCGACCAGGTGCGAGAGATGTACGCCGCATATAGGGTCGCTAGTCCACGGATAACCTCAAGGCGGACTTGGGGTTTGCGGTCGGCGAGGCGGCCGCCGACCTCCTTCAACAGCGTCTTGGAGACTAGCTCAATGGATTGCAGGGCCGTCTGACAAACTTCCCGGACAGTCTTAGCTCGGATCTCCCATTCCGGGTCTTGTAGACGCGCTGCCAATAACGGCGCAACCTGCTCGGCCAACTTGGGTTTGCGCTGCATGATGACAGCCCCGATGCCTAGGACCTGGGCGCGGATAGAGGCGTCCTTGTCTTTGAATCGTCCCAGGAACTCACGGAATATGCGGGGATATTCGTTCCCATAATCCGCATGCAAGGCTGCAAAGAGGCGACCGAACAAGGCGACAGCTCGCGCGCGCACAGCGGTGTCTTCCGCTGCCAGCTGAGTGGCAACATTGGGGAAAATGTAGAGCATGAAGTTCGGGTTGACCTTGTGCAGCTCGTAAATGAGAGGGTGGACGTGTTCCTCCTCTATTTCTGAGACACCGCATCCCTTGCCTGTAAGCACTTGATTGATAAACGCTGTGACAGGCGGATTCAGCTCCGCGAAGCAGCGGGCCACAAAAAGCTGGGTGAGCTGATAGGACGGCGAGGACTCGGCCTTGTGCTCAGGAAGCAGGCACAACAGCACCGTATCCAGGAGCGCCTGTGGCACAACTTCCAACTCAGCCAAACATGCTGTCAAGATGTCCAAGATCTGCTCTCGAAGCTCAAGTGGATGATCTTCGCGTACTGAACCCAGCAGACAGCTGAAGAAGTCAACAAGCTCCTCCTCCGCCCGGGGCAAGTCTTGCTGTACGAGCTCACTCAAAATGATGCAGGATTTAACTGTAGCCAGCGAATGGAGCAAGTAAAGAACAGGCACAGGCTTATGGCCACATGCTGCAGCTGCTTGTGCTTGTTTTCCGGGCACGGATACCAGGCTCCGGAGCTGAGCTGTGATGAGAGCGAACCCTTGAAGTAGCACAGGAGAGGAGAAGGGCGCCTCAGGAGCATAGATACGCAAGATCTCTGCCAAAGCACATGCTGTATACAGTCGCACGTCTTTGTCTGTGTGGTCGAGAATGCGAGAAGACCCGAGGGCTTTGGTAGAGCCCTCCAATCCTGTAGGGCGGTCGTCCTGAGAGAGCGTCGTCAGATGCTCCCACACCTCCTTGAGCCGCTTGGCCAAGTCAGTTCGTGAGGTTGCTGCATCCAAATACCTTGATCCTAATGGCTCACTTCCGCGCTCGGATGTTGAGCTTCGGTTACGTGCCATAAGCAGGTATGGAAGTGCTTTTCAGGTACGCTGGCGTCCGCGGAACCTCCCTTCCTTTTGTTGTGTCGACAAGTGTTTACCGGCACCCACCGGAGTAGCAATATCTACAACCGCACGTGCTTTCAATCACGATTTGGCTGTCAGTCTAAACAGTAGTGTGTTTGCAATATTTGAAAAGGAGATAGAAATAGTTAAACTCGAACGGTAGGTACAGTGCATGCGCCGTAAACGCCGCGCTTCCTGTGCTCTTTCGATAGGCTGACTCGTACGAAATAGAAAAGTACAAAACCGTAAATAAATACCTACTAAAGATACACAAGTACGAGGGAATGACGCAAGCTTTCATGCTCAAAATCGTGAAGGACAGCTGCGAGACAGTGTTCCGCTTCTTCCTTATCAATTTGGCGACGAAGAGGGTAAGGGCTGGAGCCGGACCTCGCAGCCACCAGTCGCCCCGAGACAGGGTATGACAGGCAGTCGAAAAGTAGACTAGAACATGAGCATTCTATCGGCATGGCAGTGATTGGCATACCAACGTATCACAGTCCGGGTCAAAAACGGGCATGTCACTTGACATCAGGGGTGGCAAAAAGGGCGGGAAGCAGACGCACGAAAAGAAGCACGGCGAGGCCAGGCGACTGCAACCGCACTATAAGCCTAGGGCACTTTTCAAAGAAGTGTTTTTATGAATCGTATCCAGCTTCATTAGCGTTTTTTTGGGTATGATTTACCGTCGGAACGCTTCAACCTACTGAGAACGTTTGCCATCTTGAACACCTCGGCGGCCGTGGCAGATCGTCGTATCCTAACCTGGAAGTTGTTTAGGTCTAGCTTTTCTGGTTTATCATGAAGAAAGTCATGCGAAAACGGGCTGGTTAATATACTTGATACTTTCATTAGTATGGTACTTGAATCTATTGCTTTCCTCCAGTTATCCAATCGTTGGTTGCTGGCAAAGGACGCAGCGATTTTTACCCGACGTGGCAAACCATTTGAGAATACATGAGTTATGGAAACGATTGTGGCAGGTCCGACATTCACGCTCAGGCAAAGAGAGGTTGCGGGCTTCTATGATCGACATGCAGATGGGACAGGGACCCATACCCTCAAACTCCCTCTGTAAATTTTTCACCCATAAGGCAACGGCATCTACAATACTTCCATCGCGCATGCTCAGCAGAGTAATAATTTGGAGCTGCCATCGATTCAGCTTGTCCGCCGAAACGCCCAGACTCCGCGTGCATTCCACCTCTACATTCCTAAGAGGGTATGCCAGTGGCAATCGCAGCAAAATCTCTAGGGTACAATCATCTTTCAGGTAGTGCGCAGTTACTTCCCGTGTGATGGTGCTGCCGCGAACGGCGATTTCGTCCTCCCCGCCGCCCCAAGGGCACTCATATCCTCTACTCTTGGCATGTATCAAATCAATCTCACGCTGCACGATGCGTCCACTGGCATACTCCTCCACAAACTTGAAAACGCTAGAGGTGAGCCAACGCTCCGAATCAGAGGACCACCATTTCCGAACTAGCGCGGGAAACGTCACAATTGTACGCACCACTACATAGGCAACCAAACGTCGAATGTCGTGCCCGTTTGTGGCGCTGGATCCCGTTCCACTTTCCAACTTGTGGGACGTTGCCCACAAATCCTGCAGATCGTATCGGCTGGATACCAAGTCTGCTGAAGAACCAACTCGGCGGCCCAAAATGCGGAAGCAGGCCAGCAAAAGGACAGGGAGACTGTCTAAGAGGGATACATAGGTAGAATATGCGTCACGCAAAGATGGTGAGAGCGCAACTGCCTCTACATGCTCAAGGAAGAGTAGCCAGGTCATAATTGCCTGGAAAAGTCCTTGACGATATCCATTCAGGCTCTCTGTCGGCATTCCGTCTTCCCCTTCATCCCCTCCAAGCATTTCAAGCAGACCCTCCCACTTCAGGAGACAGGCAAGCCGCTGCGTGGGATGGGGCTCCAGAATCTGGGAATGCACAAGTTCAGCATCCAGCGGGGCGACCCACAAGCTGAGCATACGATGAAAGCGTGGCATGAGACGCCTCGCAACAATGCGCACGTCCCTAAGCATATCTTTTCGCTCCGACGCGTCATTCGCAACGGTCTTAGCGCGTTCATTCTCGAGAAGCGGCAAAAAATCCGCAAAAGTGGACACATCTCCGTCATCACTATCGTCATCCATTTCAGTAACACTGCGCAGGTATGGCCGCAGCAAGTGAAATGCTCCCATGTGAAAGCTCGAGGATATTGGATATCCGTCACTTTCCAAAATTTGCAGTAAAGTGTCGACATCTGTGCTCCACAGTGTCATGTTTAGCTCCAATCCCCCAGATGATGACTTCATCTCGTAAATTTGGGTCGTCCATTCTAAATCACAATTGTCAAAAGGGATTAACATTACCGCTAGCAAACGACAGCGAATGCAAATTTCATATCGTAATGCTGACATCACAGTCGTCTGGGCCGTGCTCTGCTTGATCTTTGTTGTTGTGGTGAAGCCGTGCAGAGCGAGGCGAAAGAGCGAGGCCTTTGTTGCAGGGAGGAGATCCAGTCCACCCGTCTCTAGCACAGTTTGCAATCCGACGTCCACAGCCGCAAGGAAAGCACTGGGGGATTCAGTCATACAAGTCCCCACCGCCGAATTGGTCCACATCTCTTCCAGTGCCTGACGGCAGGCAACTTGCTCCCTGCAGGTCTTGCTCAGACCAACCGTCCAAAAGAGGGTTGCCACTTGTACCATCTCAAACATATTGACAGGGATCACGGATACGCGCGATTTTGTCCCATTACCAGATGACAAAGCCAGGTTTTCTTTCGACTTTCCGTGCGATGCATGAGTCACCAAACCGATCCGGATGAGCGCGGACCACAAGATGCTTGCACGCGCCATGCTTAAAGATGGAAAACCTGCGAGAAGATATAGCGAAGAGGTAACGACAGCCCACTGAGACTCCGGAGTTGCCCTTTCTTTCTCCGCTTGTTCTAGAGCCGATTCTGCGATGCCAAACCACTTGTTTTGCATTTTTTGCATCCATACGTCGACCTCGGACCGCAGAACCGCATCAGAGTGTAAAGGGGAGATTATAGCCTGCAGCCCCCGTAACACCTCGCCCAAGCTCCAAGCAAGAACGACTTTAGAACACGTTGTGGCAGCGCATTCCAGGTAGGGCGTCAGAATACTCATCAAAAGACCACACACATCTGATAGTTGTTTCGACGTCTTCTGAAACATAGCTGAAGCACTAATACTCGCTGCGCTGGCAAACTGGAGGTCAGGCAACCCTTCACATACTCCAGCCACCAAGCCCGATATGTCCATAGGTTTGGCACGCCGCAACCGTTCAAATTCCATCTGGGTCTCACCGCCATCGATCTTTTTGACAGTGAAATATTTTTCAATATCATCTCTGTGGATCCCAACAATATTGCCCCGCATCCACGCCCTATCAGGAGCGCTGTCAGCGATCGAAGCAGGCATATGCCGGTCCCGATACCAGACTTCCATGCCCATCTTTAGGTCATCAGGGCTATCAAAAGACCTTGTTTGCTCCTTAGGAAGGACAACACGACCAAAGGCTCTCTCGTTCACTTGGCCAGGTGTGAAAGTGCCTTTTTCTCTTGTAAACGCAGCCTCAAATACAGATATAAGGCGCGATAGCAAGTATGCATCCGTCCAAGATGACGAAATAGCGATGATCTCAAGCTGCTTGCCTACAATACGGCTCAAATTCTGAATTATTTCTATATCAACTTGAGATTCTGAGTGAAAAGCATCACCGTCCACTTCATCCTCCCAGCTTTTGAAGAAGAGTAGCTGAAATGGAGCGTCTGATGGCATGCTCGTCCTGACTGGTGCTCCGCTAAGATACCGAGAAGCAGCAAATGAAGCCCGCCCTGGCACAGGTCCTCTGATAGTCTTGTTCTCTCCAGATACCACCCCGGCGGACAGGATCGCATGCAAAAGGGGTCCAGAGCGGGCCAGAAACATTTTTACGTCGAAGGCGGCCTGAAGCGATCGATCTTCCTCGAGCGCGTGGACCACAGCTTGCAAGTACCGCCACATATGTGCCCGAAGGACCGGTTCTGTAGCTGCCGAGTCCCATAGATAGATATCGGCTAGCCCAGACTCGAGAAGAAGAATGGGAAGAAAGATCGACGGGGGCTCAAGAGAGGCAGAGGCCAAAATCTCCGCTAAGCGAATGAAAAATTCTGCCCAATCCTGCTCGTGATCAACCCGACGTCCTTGTGCCAACAAGGAATGCAGCCATTTCGTGACATGTCGCCGGAAGATATATGTTTCCAGCTGATGAAGGTTTTGTCCCTCGTCTTGATCTTCTTCCGTCTCCATCGCATCCTCCCTGGGCGCCAAACTGAGGATGGACGCAATCCTCACATCTACGGAAGGCCCAATATTCTTAAACGCCGAGCTCAGGATTGCGGGTACCTTCTCCCGCACAGCGCCGAGTATCGAGCGTCCGGCATCATGATGGTCCAATGCCAACATAAACGCCTCAAGGCCAACGTGACTCCCCCGCGCCAGTGTTCTCTCGACGAGGCGCCCAATCGCGGATGAGTCGAGCTGTGGCTGCCTTAGCTGGCTTTTTATTTCCTCACTAGTCAAATCAAACTGCGGCTTGTCACCTTCTCCGGCTTTGTAATCCCCACTTCTTCTCACCCCAAGGCACGAGGCAAGAAATGCAACCGTTTCATCGTTACGTTTTCCTACATCATCTGTTTCAATGATCTCCCGTACATATGGAGCTAGTGCATCTGACACCAGGAGTGTCAGATTTAGCGAATTCTCAGGGCACCCATGTGCAATCAAGGAAGTACGCGCAAGTTCATATGTCGTGGATAGGGAGTCGAAGGTCTCCGATAAAAACTCTAGCCTCCCAGTCCTCTTAATGTCTACATTCCGAGTGAGAGTTCCCAACAGCTCTTGCCAATGTCCTTCTTCCCCCAGCCAGGAGTTGACAATCGTCGTAATGGCCACCAAGTACTTTACAACCGCTTTGCTCCCTTTGACGTCAATTAGGTCCATCTGCTTCTCCAGAGTTGGAAGAAGGAAGTAGAGGACGAGACTCGAAGAAGATGCATACGGAGGTGATGGTGATACGGCAAAGAGGCGCTCGAGAGGGATTAGTGAGACAATGGGCTTCATGAATGACAAGTAAGGCAAAAGAGTGGCCTTATACTGGTCACGTGCCTGGCATTGTAGGACGCATTGCCAAAACAAGAAATACAGCGTCGTCTCCACGCGTCCCTGTCCTGTAGCCCCTGGCGACGCCCCTCTCTCATAGCAATCTACCAGAAGTTTGCTGAGCCAGACACTCCTACTTTCTACTTGCCAAGGCCCTGCTTCTGGAATCAAAGACAATGCCTCATTATAGTCTGACGCGTCAGATGTTTGGTCATCTATGCCAAGCACGCGCAGTGCCACCACCTGAACACCCCGCCAAAAGCAGTCATCGAAATCTAGAAAAAGGCAATGTCTTCGTCCCCCTCTCTCCATTCCAGCATTGTTGAATTGCACTAAAGCGGTCAACAATGCTTGGAAAGCCTGAGGCTGTCCACTCCGGGCCTCGCGTGCGAGCACTCGCGCAAGAGCTCTCAAGATCTCTCGAACGAAGACAAGCCCCGCATTATGACCGTCTAAAGGCCCAATACTACGCTCCAGCTCCTTCTTGTTAGCAACCAAATGCTCCTCCGCATCCTGACAAGGCTGTCGAATCAACATATAGGTGGCAATCTCGATGATGGCCACCATGTAGGGCTCTTCCCCGTCGTGCTTGTCGGCCGAAGCGCCCGTCCAAAGAGACCCCAACAGATCTACAGAAAAAGCTCTAGACAATGCAGGAGGGACGGAGGCCACGAAGGGCAACAGAGAAGGACAAGAAACTTGAGCAGCTCCGCAAAAGCTAGCCCGCACGAGCTTGAGAAGTCGGGGGAAAAGTTGAGCCTTGCAGTCGAGCGCGCTCGTCAGGGTCTCTGGGAAGTGACGGAGAAAAACAAGGATGCCTTCCCACATAGCCGGAAAGTTGCCCCTTTCTCTTTCCCCAAGCATCTTGCATATCTGCTGCGCCACCATGTCCGCCTGTCCCCTGTGCCCCATGGCGCTCCCTGCCTGCCCGGCAACGGCGGCAAGCAGCCTATAGGCCGCGCGCCGGACAAAAGGGCGGGGATCCTGCAAGAATTTCCACATTGCCTCGTCCTTAATTACCTCTGTCAGCGACTCAGAACGCCCTTCGACAAAAATGGAGTTCGGGCCTGACGCCGGGGTAGCCAGGGACGGGGCCGCTGTAGGCGCCCCACCACGTGCTGGATTGGGGTCTGGCGCTTCCTCGGTACTGACCGTGCCTGCCAGTCGCGACAAGGTTTCCTGATCCAGAGCCATCAGCAAAGCTGCCAATGCTGTAAGGGAGCAGACACAAATCCTCTCCAAACGCTCCTCAGTCTCATCTGTGCTGCTCCTTGCGCTGTCAGACATGTCGAGCGCTACCTCTTCTCGCGTTAAGCGCAAATTTGTGTGTAAATACCCTATGATTACGGGAGCAGACTCGATCAAAATGTCACTACGCCGCAAGTCTTTGGGAAAGATTGTGACAAACGCTCGATTGGCAGCGTTGGCGACCTCTTTTTGCGAGTCCCTCATTGCCAGCCACCAGGGGCCAATCAGGTGGGGACCCAATACCCGTACCATGGATTTGCGGTCTCTTGCGAACAGCGCCGGGAGAGTCGTGGAAAAAAGGACTTCTCGCACACGCCGATCATTTTCTAGGAGTACTAGCCGTGGATAAACGTGCACCCAGTATGGAAGCAGCCCTTCCACCACCGAGGACGAAAGCTCCGACCCACTACTTTTGATAAGCCGAGCAAGCTCCAATAGAGCCTTGTGCTTAGTCATCGCATCCTTCTTACCCAAACGCTTGAAAACCACCAGAAGATCTGCATCACCTCCAGTGTAAAAGGGTGTAGGGGAGATATTGTCGTCGTAAACCCTGCTGCTGCTGGTGGTGATGGTCCTGCCAACAACACTGCCCTCCAGAGAGGGAGAGGAGGTGAGCTGCGTACTGACTCTCGCATCCCCACCCGTGAATCCGCCTCCATCGGTCGTCGATGAGGATGTTACGTCTGAGAATCCAATAAATGACGTTCTTGACAGGAGGGATGAAGCAGCGCTGTCCATGACGAGGTAAAGAAACTTCAGCTCTTTGCTCCATGCCTCTCACTTCGATCTCACCTCTCGTCCCGCATCGCTTCAAGGGTACTTGCCTGGAGGACGACGCATGTGTCTTCTTTCGGTCCTTGACTCGATCCTTTCCCATGCGTTATATGTCGCCTAGGCATAATGGAAAAAAGTTGGTGTTGCTGTGGGGTTCTGAGCAGCGATGCACCATCGATCCTAGAGAGTAGTCGATTTGTATCCCGTTCTTCGTGGTGCTGACGTACGTGAATTATCTCTCTGGCACTCTTCTCACCAAAACAATATCAGTGTCAGACTTGCAGTGACGATGGCTGGCAAAGTACTTAAAAGGAGTGCCAGTGGCAAGCATGAGTCAATAAATGCGGAGAGAGTGAAGACTGCGCGTACTAGGAGTCGACTTAAAGCAGACCCGGAAGGGCCTGCAGAAGGAAGCAA